AATATAAGCTACTGTGCTGGTACACATCTTTCTACTTAGCAAAACTACTGGGCATACTAAAAATGATATTTTGAATGGCAATTATTTCTACCACATAGAAAAAGAGAATTTTTTCATATGTGTATGTGTGAGATGATGCATATTTACATATATAGTAAATAATATTGATCAATAGCTTTTAAAAGGTTGCTTACATTTTAATATGGTGACCCTAAAAATGTACACAAAGAAAAATTACTGAACCAGATGATGTCTCAAATTCTTATTTACAGAGGAAGATGAATCACCTAATAGCTAACACTAATGCCAATGAACTAACACATGGCAATTTAACAGATGATGAGATGCTAACTGTAGCAAGGAGAGTAAATGCAGAAGTTAGGAGACAAATGAGGAGGCACGTCACCATGTGCACACAACTGAAGTGATTTCTTTCCACAATAATGAAATATCTCAAAATTTTGCAGTCAAATGATGACTAAAATAACATTTATCAGAATCAGTGAGTCACTATTTCTGAATTACAAAACCAGAAATGAAAAGTATATAAATTCATGCCGTTAAAATAACTATTTCTTTAAAGTATTACTAGTTTAAGCACAGTATTTTTAACAGTGTAAAATTAATGTGTGTGTTTTTAACTGTATTTAACCAGACACATTATTTTGATTTCGTTGTATATCCGTTAGAAACACATTTGGCTATAGTTTTCTCTTTGAGTTCACAAAGATACCGTCACTGTTTCTCCTAGGTACAGTGGGCAGTTAGACATTATCCTGGTTTTCTCTCCCATTTCTGTCATCCTACTAAAAGTACAAACATAAATAATAGAATAAAGATATATTGGAATTCTGAATTGAATATATCTTTGCAAATCCCTTCTTGAAGCACCTCTTGGGTTATCAATTGATACCTACGTCATTCTCTCCTTCTTAACAGAAATCACGTTAAAGTCGAGACCACTCTTACTAAAAGGAAATATCAGGTACTGTTGTTAAACTGGAAATGTCTTACTCAAATGCTTGTGTTTTAGGGGCAAACAAAAGTTAATAAAAGTCCATGTCTAATGTGGCAGGAGAAAGTGGAATTAAATAAACGAGCTTGAAACTGTACTAAACTCTCTATAACAGAGCACGTGTCACAATTGTGTGGGGCCATTGAAGGGTTTTAATCAGAGCAGTTATATGATTCAAACCAGTTTTAACAGCATCATTCTGGCTTCTGTGTGGAAAACAGACTGGACATAGGTTACTGCAATATATCAAAAAAAAAAAAAAAAGATAAGCGTGGCAATACACAAAGTGAAAGTGACTTTATTTTGGATAGCTAGAGTCAAGAGGATTCGGTTAGATGAGGAGTAAGAAAGAGAGAGGAGTCAAAGGATGCCTCTAGGTTTATGACCTAATGAACTAGAAGCACAAAGTTTCCATTTCTAAAGTTGTTAAGAATGCTGGAGGAACAGATATTGAGGGTGTCTCAGAAGTTTATCCCAGACTTGTTAAGTTTGATATGCTTATTAACCTTCCTACTAAAGATGTCAAGTAGACACTTGAATATATGAGTTCAGAATTCAGGGTAGAGATAAAGGCTAAAGATATAAATCTGAGAGCCATCAGCATATTGGATAGTATTTTAATCATCAGACTAGATGAAATACTCACAAGGGTAAGTATAAATAGGAAAAAAAAAAAAAAAAAGACAGCTGATAACTGGGGTACTCCAAAGTTTAAAGGTTAGAGAGATGTGAAAAATCCAACAAAGGAGACAAACAATAATTGGCCAGAAACACAGGAAGAACACCAGATACATATACTTTCTAGAAGCCAAGTAAAGAATATGTTTCAAAAAAGAGAAGGATCAATAGTGTTAAGTGATACTGATAGGTCTAGTAGGATGAGGACTGAGATGTGACCAGTGAATTTAACGCTGGGGAATTCATTTAGTAGGATAGAGATGAAAGCTTGATTAGAGTGTGTTCAAGAATGAAGTTAGACTCTGTCATAGATTGAATTATGTCCCCCCAAAAATGTGTGTATCAATTTGCCTGGGCCATGATCCCAGTATTGTGTGATTTTCCTGTATGTTGTAAATTCTGCCTCTACGATGTCAGTGGAGGAGGGTGGGTAGCAGTTGTGTATGTGAGGCAGAACTCAATCTACAAGATTGGATTGTGTCTTGAGGCAATCACTTGAGATATAAAAGAAAAGCGAGCAGAGAGACGGGGGACCTCATACCACCAAGAAAGCAGTGTCGGGAGCAGAGTGCGTCCTTTGGGGGTCCCTGCACAGAGAAGCTCCTGGTGTGGGGGAACACTGATGAGAAGGCCGACATAGAGAGAAAGCCTTCCCCTGGTTTGGACTTTTAGCCTACTTTACTGTGAAGAAATAAATTCTCTTTGTTAAAGCCATCCATTTGTGGTATTTCTGTTATAGCAGCACTAAATGACTAAAACAGATCCATACCTCACACCATATACGAAAACTAACACAAAATGGATCAAAGATCTACATGTATGTCCTAAAACCATAAAACTCTTAGAAGAAAACACAGAAGTAATGCTTTGGGCCTTAGTCTTTAACAACAGATCCTTAGATATAATACTGAAAGCACAAGCAACAAAAGACAAAATAGATAAATGGTATCTCACCAAAATTAAAAAAAAAAAAACTTTTACACACCAAAGGACTTTATCAACAAAGTGAAGAGAGAACCTACAGACTGGGAGAATATTTGGGGAAACCAAATATCCTATAACAGTTTAATATTCAGAATATATAAAGAATACACACAAATTAACAAGAAAAATATAACCCAATTGAAAAATGGGGAAAGGATCTGAATAGACATTTCACCAAGGAGGATATACAAACTACCAATAAGCACATGAAAAGATGATCAACATCATTAGCCATAAGGGTGATGCAAATCAAAACCACAATGAGATACCACTTCACTCCCACTAGCGTGGCTAAGATTTAAAAAAAAAACAAGAAAAACAATTGTTGGTGAAGATTGGAGAAAATGAAACTCTCGTCCATTGCTGGCGATAATGCAAAATGGTATAGCTATTGTAGAAAAGAGTTTGGTGGTTCCTCAAAAAGTTTAACATAGAACTACCATATGACCCAGAAATTCTCCTCTTCAGTATACACCCAAGAGACTTGAAAGCAGTGACACATTTATACCAATGCTCATTGCAGCATTATTTACAATAGCCAAAAGGTGGAAACAACCAAAATACCCATGAAAAGACGAATGGATAAACAAAATGTGGTGTCTATATACAATGGAATATTACTCTGCCATAAAGAGAAATGAAGTCCTGACGCATGCCACAATATGGATGAACCTTGAAAACATTATGCTGAGTGAAATAAGTCAATCACAAAAGTACAAATATTATATGATCTCACTAATATGAAGAGCCTAGAAAAGGCAAGTATAAAGAGATCAGAGTTTAATAGTTGCTACCTAGGAAAGGAGGAAGGGAAAACAGGGGAATTATTGTTTAGGAAGCATTGAGTTTTTATTTATGGAGATGGAAAACATGGCAAAAGATATTGGTGACAGATGCACAACATGATGTATAATTGACGTCACTGAATTGTATACACGAGAAATGTTGAATTGGCAAATGTATTCTCTATATTTTTATAATTAAAAACAAGGTTTTAGAAAAAGAGAGAATGGAAAGAAAGAAATTAGAATACTAAATACAGACAACTCCTTCAAGGAATTCTGTAGTAAACAGAATGAGAGAAATGGAATAATAGGGTGTACATGGCTTCCATGTCCAGTCTCATCTCCTGTCACTCTTGCCCTCATATTCAAAATCTCAGACATCTTTGAACTGCTCTCAGTTCTCTGAATATCACTTGCTCCTTCCAGTCTCTCTCTGCTATTTCGCTCTACCAAAAATGCCCTTCTCTTGGCCAGAAAATAGATATTCACACATCATGCCTTACTTTAGACATAATTTAATCTATGAGTGTCCTGCTTACATGCTATCATAGCAGACTACATATTAATCCATTGTTACATCTATTAAATCATACTAGTGCACAAATATCTAATTCTTTAAAAGTCTGTGACCTCCTCAAATTTGGGTACCATAGTTTTCATTATATTTGATCCAATGGTGGTGATACTCTGCATATTTCTATTGCCACCTCACACTATGGATTAGCAGTGCCCTCTTCACTACTCGAGGCAGAGTCATGAGCGCCTTTAAGACTAGTTAGACTTGAGAACCAATTCAGAAAACTCACCCTTATGATTTTGTTCCTCTAGAACCACTCTCAGTTCCAAATGTCTTAGGTTGGGTTCTCTGGAGAAGCTAAACCAATGAAGCTTTTATATATATATATATATATATATATATATATATATGCACACACATATATACATATATACATATACATATATAGACAGAAATTTATTTCAAGGAGAGTATGATAGTTAATGTACATACAGCATGTATGTACACACACACACACATAGAGAGAGAGAGAAAGAGAGAGAAATTTATTTCAAGGAAATGGCTCACACAGTTGTGGAGGCTAGCAAGTCCCAAATCCATGAGTCACGCATCAAGGTGGAGGCTTTTCCAGACTCATGTAGTTGCAGGAGCTGACAAACCCAAAATCTGCAGCTCTGGGGGTAGTCTGCTTGCGCACATCCCAAGAACCAAAGGTCAGAGGACGATGAGTCAGATGTAGGGTTGAGAGAGAACAAGCTTTTCCAAAATGTCCATATATACATACTGGATGCAGGCCACACCCCCCAAGGAATCTCCCATTTCATCTGATTGGCTGCTCACATCAGCTTGCAAAATGGAGGATGATTACATAATATCTGCCAAACCACTGAGAACAATGACCTAACCAAGGTGACACATAACATTAACCATCATACTCTCCCTTCATAATATTTTACCTTTTTATAAATTATAACAACAAAGATGTTAAAAAGACTATGATACATAACAGTAAATATTTTACCTTGCTTTATATCAGCATTTCTTGTAACTTCTGAAAGATAGCAGTCTGGCAAAGGATATGATGAAAACATTGGCCAAGGATATGGAACATTACCCTAAACACAAAGTGAGACAGGTGACCTTCAGGGTACAGTTTAAAATACTATTGATTTTTAAAACTTTCTGAAATATTACTAATGTAAACTGTCTTTTTCTCTCATAACTTCTAGAGTAGTTTCCCACCTAACCAAAAGCTATTTGATATTACAATTCATTATTCTAATGGATAATGATTAAAATGAAGTGTAGCAGAAACACTGAAGGCAGACATCTGGTAACTTATCCTAGCAACTACAACTAACAATGATAGTTTTACTTTTTTTTTTCATTTAAGGAAAATTATAGCCTTCAAAGTAAACCCTGCAATTGTGATTTTGTTCACCAAACTGTGTCTATTGTGCTGTCAATCATTTCTATCTCATCCTTCCCAGAGTGACAGGAAAAGCACAAATGTACTCAACAACAACAACAAAAAATCTTCCCGAGAAAACAAAAACTCTATGAATACTGATGGAAAGAGAGGTACTCCATATTGTCAAAGAAATACAAAAAGAATATAGTCACCTAATAAAAGTTACAAATCATAAAAGAGAAGACACTAAAAGCAAAAAAAAAAAAAAAACCCTCGAAGACACACAGGAAAAATGACAACTTTTTAAATAAAACAACACCATACTCTACTACACAAGTAGCATTCATGACACCTGGATGTCAAGAATACTATTTTAGTTTGAATGCGTTCACTTGCATCCTAAAGTTTTCAAGTAGCAGAAGTTCAACTCTTTGATGTAGATATTTGAGAGTCAATGCTGTTAAGTGTCACTAGAGGTGACTACCTTGCTTCAAACAATGTCAGGAAAATACTCCCCCCTCGTCTCCATCCCACTCACCTTCTCTAGTATCCTTGGAGGCAAAATCCGTTCTAATGGCCCACCAATAAGATTTATCCTAACAAGAACATGATTTCTCTCTACTGATAAACCATCAATTATGAAGTCTCTGAAATATAAATGTAACAACTTTGTTATCACCTAATTGAATGTACTTTATTTTTATAATCAAGTAACTGGACTGTAAATAAAAATAAGGCCAAAAAATATCTATAGGACAAGTCTGAAAAACAGATTATCATCAAAGTAACACTTAGAAAATACAAAGGGCTAAATTTACTTTTTATCTTATAGTTTTCTTTGCTAAAAGACAAACAATTGATGGAGATATAATTTATATAATTAGATTAATAAAAGACTATTTTATTGACAAATCTTACTGTATTTAAAGAAGAAACAAGGTTAAGACATGCATTACAGTCTTTCTACAGTGACTTTAACAGGCAAGTTTCAGTCAAGGGTCTCAAGTTCTAGACCTAGTACCTTAAAGTCAAAATCAAAATGTTGTTTTTTGAACATCCTCCACACTTCTTGCAGTGGTTAAAACTTTCCTCCTACATCAAACCTAGAATATCCAGTAAGTGTTACGCCTGGTCTTCTAAGTCGTCAAGCTCTGGCTAGGAATGGAGGCATACATTTTTTCTTTTTTAATTACAGACACTAAAGCAGTGCCAGCTATTGAATAAGTACTCAATAAATGTCAGCCAAATTGAGGCAATGGCAGGTGTGATTTATTAATAGGAAAAATTATCAAGATAATATCATAAAATCATTTGGCAAATAAACAGAATTTATGACTAGGAACTAACTTACTTAAGAGAATGAAGTAAACAGTGTCTTTAAAAGGGACACAAAATCAAACATTTTGTTCAATGGGTCATCTTACATATGTAACCTGAATTTAAACATGACACAATTTCATGGAACCATAAGTAAAGTTAGAGCTTAACTTAAAAATAAATAAATAAATAAATAAAACAAAAACAAACGTAGAAAGCCTTCTCTGAACTCTTCAAGCCCTCTTCAAAATCATCTAATTTTCTGTGATGTTTACTCTTTAATTGCTTTTTACTCTTTTTATTTAAATTTATGGAATTTAGATACTCAAAAAGCATTTTAAAAACTATACCAAAAATCACTACCTTAAAAAATCATGTATAATAGATTGCTTTTGTGTGGCCTTTCTCAACATGGTCTTGTAACTCCCACCCAGGTGACTGGGTGGGACTGTGCAAATAAGGTAATTGTAGCCCACCAAAAGGACTGGTCAGTTTTGCCCTGCTGGGCTTGAAATGAGCCACCCCAGAGGCGGGAGAAAGAAGAGCTCACCACCACCAAGGAAGAACAGGCAGGAGCCAGCACATACTTTGGAACCATGATCTCTGCACTGAGAAGCTCCTGGAAGCAGGAGACTGAGAGAATGAGTGAGCTGTAACCCTGAAGATGGGGAGAAGTGGTGGCAGGCAGCAGGAGATGACGTGGTCGGCTTCCCGGCCCAGGAAGCAAGAAAGCTGGGTGCCTTTGGGCAGAGGCTTAGGGCCAAAGAGAGGAATGTCTGTGAGCATGGCTGGGAGGAGGCTGTCCTGATGGAAGAACTGTATCCTTGAGTGTTTGTTTCTGAGCCTGAATTGTAACCATTACTTCCCTAATAAAACCCATAATCATGAGAATGGTCTCTGAGTTCTATATGGCCATTGCAATGAATTATCGAACCTAGCAGAGAAGTAGAGAGTGCCATGGGAGGGACAGCTGGTGTCAGAGTTGGTAAAGACAGCTGAGAAGGGAGGCACATCTGACCTCCACCTCATAAGAATCAGCCTTGGGCTGATCTTGATTCTCCTTCCCCCCTGTGAAGTTAGAGGAGGTCAGAATCCACCCCTAAGATGTTTTTTACAGTGTGTGTAAAAAAAACATTGTTTTTATTATTGTGTCTTAATGGCCCATTGTTTTACCTGTAGTTCTCAGAGGTTTCTAACATATTTTCTTCTTGAGCATTTAGCAACATTTCAGATACTTGATATTGAGCCTCTAATAGGAGAAGAGTGTCCAGGTCACAGCATATCACACTTAATAACCTATACATGGAGGAAAAATAAACGGTTTTATAAAATATGTTCTAAAAATTTAGAAATTTTCTTGATGTCTCAAAGTAATACCTATACATTGAAACACAAATTTGATAGGAAAGATCACTTAGATTTTTTGCATACATATACATATACACACACAGATATAGTTGCAAAAACCTAAATAACACATTTGCCAATTCAATATTTTTCAAGTGTACAATTTAGTGATATCAGTTACATTAATCATGTTGTGCAACTCTCACCAATAATCATTGCCAAATTGTCTATCACCATAAACAGAAACTCACTGCTTCCTAAACAACGACACCCCTCTTCCCCCTCAGATATATTTTTAATCATTTTAAATAGTAATCTTCTATTCAAAAATTGTTCTTATTGAAGTATTATTTAAAATACAATGGGTAACTTCTAATCTAGTTCTTAAAAATTTATCAAAATCTAAAGTAGAAATGAATAGTAAATTTCCTTCCCAACTTCTACTTAATTTATTTAAATATTCATCAGGGATATTAGCAAATCCAAAAAAGTTGCAAATTGATATAACTTTTGATTCAATAATTACCATTTCCTACCAATCTAGGAAATGATCACTCAGTGAAATCTATGGCAAACTTTGTAATTGCCTGATCAAGCTGAAAACACCTAAACACACTGATATATCTTAAAATTACTGAAAGAAAGACAAGCAGAAATCATTATATCATCTATTCTTTAAGTATTCTTTCCAAGAAAATTAAACCTGAACTAATTGAACCTAGATACCTCACTACCAGTTTACAGGAAATACTGAGATCAGAGAAACATGTTAAAAGACACAACCAGGAAACAGTCAAGCAAATCCAGAATGTGGAGAATCCTATATATTATTACCTATGTCATACTACACATGATTTCTTTAGGAAAAAAAATATATATATATACAAACACACACACACACACACACACAGAGCATTAAATAAGAGGGGGAGGAGACATAAATTAAAAGAACTATCAAGCAAATGCAACGTGAAGACTTTTGTTTCAATCTTCATTCTAATACACGAACTGTAAAAGGGCATTTTTGAATCACTCAGGAAAATACGAGATAGGTAATAATGGCATGGTGGTAATGTTTTTATTTTTTTTAAGTGCTTATCTGTTATAAATACTTAATTGTTCATAGGTAAAATGGCATTATTTAAAGTACTTAAGGAAAAAAGTGTGAGTGGGAGAGATAGATGAAACAAAATTGGCAAAATATTAACTGCCGAGTGATGAGTACATGGAGGTTCATTATACTATTCTCTCTACTTCTAAAAATGTTTAAAAATTCTATGATAAAAAAGTTTTTTAAAAAAGATAATGTGATGATGATATTGGATGGCTATAGTAGACTGGGTGGTCAGGGAACTCACTGAAAGGTGGCACTTGAGGAAACAGGAAATCCAGGAAGGAACCAGCTCTGCAATTACATGTTTTACGGATTTATCTTACAGATAAACTCAAATGTGAGCACAATGGCCTACATACGAGGATATTTATTTCAGACATGTTTATAACAGGAAAATATGGAAAACAAAATAAATGTCCACCCATAGCAAAATGTGTAAACATTTGGGCTACATTTTTACAGTGATATACAATACAGATATTAAAAACAATGCAGCAGATGTATACGTTCTGATAAAGAACTATTTCCAAAATACATTAAATAACAAAGGAAATGTACAAAAACACTGTAACATATTATCATTTTCATAAAAATGGAAAAATATTTAAATGTATACATGCACATGCAAACACATTACATGTCCATCTCTCAAAGTACCAAAAGAAAATGGTTAGAATATTTATCTTTGCAGGGGATATTTAACAGATCAGAAGGAAACTTACTTTTTACTGTATATATTTTTATAATTTTTGAATTGTGGTGCAATTATATGTATGACTTATTCAGAAACATAAAAATAAATAGAGAAAAAAATGTTTGGTGGAGGCCCTTAAAAGTCAAAATGGCAATTAAATGTCACCTCTCCAGAATCTAACGAAAATAACCAAAT